CCGTTGTACATCATCTGCTAAAATGGCAACACCAGTTCAAAACCTCCGACGGCGGAGCCTGCTACATAAGTTGCCCGAACATCAAATACACTTGTGCAGATCACATTGTCGTGCGTGACGTCATTACCACGACGATGCCGTACTCTGCTAGCAACAGTGTCAGTCAAACTTCTGGCATTTTCTCCCACAAGAAGGGGGCAATTATCGGGGCGCTGTGGGGAATACAGAAAAGTGACAGTTGCAGTCTCTCACCTCCCTTCGTGTCTGTTTCTGTCACATATACATTAGTGCCCTTCGGCATGATATACAAGGCTTCATAGGCATGCGGTGGTGGCTGGGCATATTACACCGAACTAGTTGTCACACTAGTACTTAAACCGCACATACATACCCCAAGATTGCAAGAAATGTGAAAGATAGGAACTAATAGTATCTACACCGTGATGGCTGTTACGTAGATGTGTATTGTATTGTGTGTTTTTCAAAATACGTGATGGAGGCTTTACGCACTTCAGAGGTGCTCAGAAACATGAGAAATCGTAGTTTGTCGCTTGTGTTTGCTGCATCACAAAAAAGATGCTGAGATTTCGAGCGTAGACAGACAGATGCCTATCTAGTGAATTCCTATCACCCGAAGGCAGGGAGATTGATAGCTGGTAGAGCAGTTTGTCAATAAGTTGATAACATCTCCGAATGTCCATACCGCTGTGGTGAGTAAACTCTGCCTTTCAGACACTCAACTCAAAATCGATCCTGTAATCCCAGGTAATTGGGACCAGCAAACTAGATATATCACCAATCCGGATCTACTGATGACCGGAAATTAGACTTTTCACCGGGTCATACTTTCTCAGGGCTCCACCAAAGTTCGCCCTTGGTTCAGGCATGTGGCAGCCCCTGCTGCCTCGATTTCCTTGCGGTTGATACGCACAGCAATGTGATCGAAATGACAGAAACTTTATGTATTTATCAGGTACATTACATACATGTACTTCTATGTTCTGAGAAAAAAAGTGGCTTTAATATTGAACAAAACGGAATTATATACCTCCCTAATTCTAAGGTGAGACATGGCGTTATTTTACAACACCTCGCGCGATAAATCCACGTCGGTCCCCCAGCAATATACAAATCCCCTCATGAAACAAGCTGCAGCAAACGTGACAGGCAAAATGCCCCCGTTCATCAAGCGTCCCTGACGGCGGAAGTGTGCGGTCTGCAGCCGACTCACAGGAACTTCCAAACACTGCCAAGACGCCGGTCGTCAAGTTTTAGCAAGACGTGACAAGGACAATCCTCGGTTGATGAAGCAGTCGTATGACTTCCATTTGGGACCACTTCACTTGGCGTCTCCAAGTTCCAGAAGGCGTGACGAGGAAAATGAGATGTCGATAAAACATTTGGCCAAGTCGGAAGCATAGATTTCTCAAATGAACCCAGAGCACCACTTCAAATTGGGGCTACTTTGTTTGCGCGCCAAGACGTCGCCAAGTCATAGCAGGTGTGACAAGGATAGTAACCTGTTGATTAAACGTCCGGTCAGGACAAAAGCACAAAGATGCTTCTCATTCCCCAAAAAAGCCCATTTAGATTCCCCTCTATTTCAATTTTGCAAACAAATGAAGTATGCCTTGCCCTTGGCGTTGATGTAGACGTTGCAGCTATATTAACATTGCTATTATTTGTTATCACCATTCACTATCTGGAGAAATGTTACTGTACTAAAGCGCCCATCTGTCTTCAGATTAGACCCGCTTCTAAATCTAATTTATAAAACCGTAGCTGTCGTTTAATATCTGAAAAGGAAGCTGATCTGTATTCCGTCAACATGTATATCCGGCGTGATACACCAGCTTCAAAGGCTTGTAGAGACAGCCACGCCAGGAACTCCCTAGAACCGACAGAAGACATGAGAAGGCATTTTACAGAATAAGTTGTCACGCCCAAGCCCCCTACGTGCTGTTAATGATAATTATTATTATGTGTTTCTCGCCATGTGAGGTATGTGACTAGACACCGTCCCTACGCAGCGTCTCATGTTTACTTGTGTTTCTAAAGGCGCTCCTAAGCAGACCCACTGATCGGGGACGAATTATTCACACCGAAAACAAATGGATTTTTGAAGCAGTCATGACAAACGTCGATCGTGAGGAGGAAGTCCGTTTGTGGATAATAACAGGCAAAACGCTGGGCTGTCAGTGACAGTACTAATCACCAGTCCAGTCAGAGGAGCTAAGTGCTCCTAATCTCAAAGCAGATGGAGGGCTTCGGCTTGTATCTGTTGTGTGGGTCTTGTACTCTTTCCAAAGCGAGGCGCCCGGTGAAAACGTTGCACCAAAACGCTGCAATGAGGCGAACTAGAGTTAATCGAAGACACCTACTTACATATACCAAATGCCATGGGTATTCATCAATAGATCCTATAGCATCGTTGTCGAACCACAAAAAGTCACGAATGTTGTCGAAACCATAACATTCTTTGCGAAGGTGACTAGCTTTGGGCATACCTATACCACCAGTGTGGCAGTGTCCCGTTTTTATGACATTGCATTGCATTGTAAATATTTCTAAAAACAAATTCGCGGTCACCGCAATTAATAAGAAAAGCCACGGCAATACAAACGAAAGTCAACAGTTTTTTATTAATAACTTTGAGAAAACTGGATTGGTTGGGTACTTTGGAATTCAAGGACGGCTGACTCTCGCCCCGGCTAGGCAAGGTAGCGGTCGTTGGGAAGCAGGTACATCTAACATGTTGGATTAATAATCATTCTCAAGTACTGAAGTCTTGGTTTCCACGCCCGAGGTGTTCACGTCGTGATGAAATTCGCATGGAAAAACGCAAATATCCTCTACGACGCCTGGTATTTTACGAAGTTGTAGGTTACATGATCATAGTCAGTCTCCAGTCGTTGTGTGCTCATGGAGTTTACTCCGGTTTGAACTGGCAAACTGAACACAATTCTAAGACAGAGTCGAGAGGCACTCGGTGATATCATCATGAACGCAAAAGAATGATACCTTTCCGCGGGCGATGGTTAGTCCATGACGTGTTTACGTACTACTTGTACTTGCTTTGTGTGGCAGTGTATAAATTCTACAGTTGAAGGCGGTAAGACTGGCCCGTCAGGAGCGGCTGGGTTAGGAATCCAGGGAAATGGAGTAGCCTTAGGGGCACTTAGAGGGGGCGGAAAATACGTCAGGAAAGGCAAATCCAGATTGATGCCGACAGCTTAACGATGTGAATGTTTTATCTTACGCGTCTGATGCGGCTCTTTGTCCGAAAACCTAGCAAACAAAGGTACCGATCTGATATTGACCATGAATAAAAGCACAGAGAGATTCTGGTTTCCCCTCTTTGATATGCCAGGCGTGTAGGACGTAACGCACCACTGCCAGTATCAGTCTGAAACATCGTTACCATTCATAGGAACTGCACGTTATGAACCCTGTCCTGACTCCTTCTAAGTTGTACTCATTTGTACTACACGCTGCTATCGTCTGTCAATTTTCTGTCAAGAAACATCCTCTAAATCCTTCCAACTGATGAAATCACTCTAGATGCATAACATGGGATAAGTAATTTGAAGAGGGGTACTACATCAATCTATATTTAATATACTACAGCATAGCATAGCATAGGATACATACGTGAGAAAGGTTAACGTTCACGTTAACAATTTGTGGTTTAAGAAAATGACTAACAAAATGTCAAACATACATGTAATATCCAGACTGATCCCGGGACAGAAATTCGTAACTTCTCCTGGCTGCCGTGACACACACAGGGCGACGGCTTGTCAGGAAACGTTGCCGTTTCCCCTCCCTAGATCTGCTTGAACATTGGTTCAAAGTTTGTTTCTGGAATGATTGGAAAAAGATCTAATAGCGACCTCTAATGAAAAAGTGATGAACTACACTTCTACAGTTCAAGAGGGCCTTCTGTTGTAATTTGACAGAAGGCAAAAAATTCACCCTTTTAAGCTAAAAGATGGTGACAAGTACTGTACGGTCAAAGCTGATTGATCATCAGTGGAACACAAAGCCCATGACCTGCATTATCTTATATCCCTTGGGACTGATGAGAAATGAAATCACTGATACTTCAGTGCAGTGGAACTTTTCATCATCAGGTACAGTGGAAGCATTTTAGATAATCCCAAGCCATGCTAGGATTCCTAGATAGATATGTAGGGTTACTGTAGAACTATAAGTCAGGGATTGTTATATCAGCTGATGTATGGATATTTTCTGGTCCATTTGGCAAGCAAATGTCAGATTTCAAGCTGGTTGTTTCATCTTGATGTTGAATATGCAATAAATGTATTTTATTCAATACCTATTATCTACACCACTATGCCCTGACAGGATGTTGTAGTTGCACTTTGTGATGTCCAGGTGAAACATGAGACTGTATTAAAAGTTCAAATATGTCTGATTTATCATGTGGATTGCAGTAAGGACTGCAGAGCACTTAAGTGCATTGAGACATCCCCCAAGTCCATTTCCAGCTGGTATTTCCCATTTAACTAAGCACACAGGTTTATTGTAAAAAGCTTTGAGTCAGTGTATGGCAGATGCAGTTATTACTCTTATCAGCCCTGACCAGGGAGTTATGCTAGGTTTGCTATTATATACTATTCATATACATGTATTTGCTTTCTACATTGTATCTTATAGAACAAGTCCACTCCATCCTGAAAGTCCTACCAGTCACTGAAAAGTGAGTTTGCGGACAGGCAAAGCTTTAAAATGAAAACCTTCATCTCCTCAGAAATCATTCATCCCAGCCAATGCTGTGGGGTAAGTGAAGTGGAGAGATATATCTTTGCAGCTTGGTGGAAGCATCCCTTGGTGGAAGCAATACTACCTGTGCTCTTGGTACAGTGAGAATACAAATAATGTTTGGTAGGTAGGTACCCAGCATGTGGGACATCAGTTATCTTGCAATGAATGTGTTCATGTTCATAGCAAAAAGGATGAGCCAGTTTCACAACTTCTTATGAAAAGGAACTTCATATAATTGTCTTCATCTTATTTCACAAACAAATGGTGACCTGTATCCTTCCTTTTTTATAGTATCTCAAGCTGTAATGAACTAAACTTCCTGACAATAGTATTTGGTACATTCTGATCCCTCAGCTTACAGCAGTGGCTCAGAAGCCCTTTTCTAACAGCCACTTCTTCACCTCCTCTGTTACCAGGCCTTTAATGACAACTTTTCTGGTGACCTCATTGACCTGCATGGCAGGATTTCTACCAATAACGGCAGGTAAGAACTCTTCCAACTCCTTTTCCAATGCCTGGAAGACAAAACAAAAAAGTAAGGCTCGTCAGTTCCTGGTAGTTCTGTGAAAAGGTCTAAAATCATACTTGTATTCTATCATATTCTAGGTGTGTAAACAATCTACACCCCTGGACTTTCGGCCAACTCTGTGGCTATCCTCATGATAATTCCTAGAGTGAAGTGTTCACAGGATGGATCAAATGGACACATACTGTATCACAGAAACCATGTCATATAGACTGATATGACATATAGTCATATAGGTATGGATTTGACCCTCCCCCGAAACTGGGAAAATCTCCCTCCTATCAACATATAGTATACATGACAATGCTTGCACTGTGAAAAAAGTTGCTGTGCTCCATTGTCAGCATAAAGAGAGAATATGTTGCATTTCTGAAAAGACAAGCAGACACATGATGGATACAAAATGACAAATTTTTTTATGGTTCTCCCTTCAGATTGGATCCACAAAATCCACAATAACTTATTGCACATTATGGTACCATAGAACAGAGCTCACAGCTCAGCCTTACCCATATGTCTCCCTCGATGTGAGCGATGATGGTTTGTTTCCGTGATCCGTCCTTATTGAACTTCTCATACACTGGGATCTGAGAGAAGCGAGTTCTACGCACAGAGTACGGGAGATCTGGGGGAGGATCTGGTGCAAAAGAAAAGGTATGAATGGTTACTGTCTGCAAATACTAGTATGCTGCATTGGTTTTGTCATTATGCTAAAATGTGAACTTTGATAAACAGTAAATAAATTTTCTTCATCCAATAATGCCTCTATGAGTAGTAGTGTGTGTATCATGTCAAACCAGAAACAGTGCAATGTTGTCTGGAATATATTTCATCAAGTAAGTTTGAATGGAGGGCCTAAACTTGTGCAGGCCAGGGTTCATCTATAAATTAATAATAAATAATAGACAGCAATACTCCGTTCTGCTGCTGGGTGGCAGGCCGCACTGAAGTATGCAGTGGTGACAGAACAGTGCTTTTGGAAAAGATCAGACCAAAAACACTCTACATTTGTTAGCAATTATTGGCTTTCTAATCAACATTAGAGTCAGCAACATGTATTTTTACCCGTAGGTGGTACCCAGCCACTCGGTGTGGGGTAGTGTGGATGTTCAGGGACAGGTGGGATCTGGTATCTTGGCATCAACCTCTCCACCCATTTGAAGTCTGCTTTAGATTCTATAAACTCAGGCTGTGCAGGCTTGAGCGGGTCTGTTCTACTGTTCTCTGGGGATGGACTTGTGGCTTGTTGTGAACAGAGACAGGCTGAAACTCTGGGTGTAGTACATCTTCCAGCCTGGATGGGAAAAAACATATACTTTTAGGCATAAAGGTAACTTACAGATGATGAACATGGACAGTTGCTTAACAATGATTCAAAGGAAAAATGTGAATTTGTCTACACATTTCAAGAAGAGAGGTGAAGCATGTAAATTATAGTGTCAGACAAAACATATATAATGTCCTTGCCCTATGGTACTAGTATCTAACACTGCATCTAGCCCCAAATTATGGGGCATGGATACCATATGCAGACGAAAAACTATCAGGGCAGGGCCCGGGACGCGCCTGTTCTTCAAGAAAGGACTGGCGGGTGCACATCACTGGTTTCAAAAGTTGCAGTATCATTCCCCAATGTGATTAGTCATGAAAAACAGCTGAAAAATACCTGAAAACCTGGAGATAATCTGACGGACATATGAAGGCAAAATTTTCTAAAGGGCGCCGCCATGATGGCTATGATATAGACTAAACCATTCTTTTACAGGGGGTATTGTGTCAACATTTTTTCCGTTAATACTAGTAGTGTGTTTCTAACAACTGGCATTATAAAAATTTCTTGAAAATGTCCAATGTTCTTTTATTGGCAATTTGAAACAAATTGTCTCTCAGGAATGATGCAAAGCACCAAAAATGAAGAAGAAGATGAGAAATCCACCCTGTCGCAGAGGTCCATGGGAAGCATGCGTGTAAACTGTGCGCAATCGTCCTCTTTTCGGTCAGCCATTTTGGTTGCACAACGAGACGTAAGTTTACTCGTACAAAAACCACAAATACGACAAAGTTGCGCAATTTAGAAAAGTTCCGATGGTTGTAACTTGATATTAAGGACACAGTGTATCTGTGTAGGTAATTATGTGGTGTTAACTGTGATTTTTGTTATGTGTAGCGACGTTTTTGTCTCGGCCGTATTCTTCCACATGCCACAAGTTGGGAGGATACTCATGTCGTTTTAGGGTATATGCACGTGATGGTATGGGCCTCGCGGATATAACTTTTAGCAACTGAAAGTATGGATTCTGTGAATGACTTGTTACTCGTAGGCTATACAAAGCGGATTTCATGTGTAAAGGGAAAACTACTAGTATATAAAAGAGCGGGCCATATTTATAATATGGGGCATGTGGGTATATCTCTACTAGTATGTCAGAATCACTCAGATCCCATGCGTAGTGATTTTTGATGTGTTATACTTTTCCCCAGAGTAAAGATGCAGCTCTTCGTCCGTGCTCAAGAACTCCACGCCCTCGAGGTGTCTGGAAATGAAACTGTGCAGGAAATCAAGGTAAGGCCATATCCCCATGTGGCATATGGAATTCAAATGTAGGAATGACTCTGGAGATGCCATATCAGATTATGGTGTACCAAGTACCATTTTATCTTCACAGTTGTTATCCATTCGAATAAAAGCCTATCTGTAATTGTTAAACGTTACCAATATCAAGGAGTTGTCAAATGTGTATGTACATTATTTTAATGTTATATATGGATTTTGATGATGCAACATATCTTTATCTGAATAAGTCAACTTTGCCTGTACTGAGCATGTACTTTACCATTTCTGTGCCCAGACCAAGGTGAATGAGCTGGAGGGTCTGCCTGTAGATGAGCTGGTGCTGACCCATAGCGGGGCTCCCCTGGAGGACTCCCAGGTCCTGACCAGCTGTGGCATCAGGGACCTGTCCAGCCTGCTGCTGGAAGTACGGCTTAGGGGAGGTGATGTATCTTTTACTATCTGTATCTTAATCAGTAATAGTATAACCCCTTCCTTTGACATAAAATACCAGCTTACCAGACATGTAATACCTACTGCTTACTAGTACACTGGACTTACACTACGCTGGTAGTTAAAATTCCAGTTAAAACCAGATGATGACATGTACATTATGTATCTCAGACAGTCCCTTTTGGGGCTCTGGGGAGAAGGGATATGAATTGCTTTTTCCTTGGTTTCTTCTCTCACTGTCAGTAATTGCTCCTTATCTCCACAACTGACTTACCAGAAATTGGTTGTTACCAGCTTTACTTAAGACCGTGTTTCTTCTCATGTCCACAGGTAAGGTTCACGGCTCTCTGGCACGTGCAGGCAAGGTCAAGGGTCAGACACCTAAGGTAAGCACACTTCATCATGGCATGTGGAACTGTCATCTTCACATAGTTCAATGGAAACATTTTCCTTTTGGTAACATGTACCCATCGGGCCATGTAGTTTCATGGTTGTCATAATTTACCTTAACTTTAAGCCCATGTTGTGAATTGCTTAAAAAAGCATGAAGATGAGATTTGAATTTTAAATGTTAAATTCGAGTTGTCCAGTACTATATAACCCGGTAAAATTGATGTACTTCTTGTCACAGGTTGACAAGGCAGAGAAGAAGAAGAAGAAGACTGGCCGTGCCAAGAGGCGCATCCAGTACAACCGACGCTTCGTCAATGTGATGCCCACATTTGGCAGGAAGAAGGGACCCAACTCCAACTCCTAAACTTTTACTGTATTGTAAACTACTTGTGGATTGTACTTGGCCAACTTTCTGTCTGTGCTTTGGATTGTCACATTTGAACATGCTTTGACAGTCAAGACTAACTGACAGATAGCTGACATGTATATTGTTCACATTGATAAATAAACTTGTTTCCATGTGACTTCTGTTTTTACTTGTGGTTTTTAACTGAGAGCTTGTATATGTAGATTATTCACTTACAATTGTGTAATACTGGTCAGTGGTCACTAAGTAAAGACAACTAAATTCACCACATATTGGCTGAATAAGGTTAAAGATATGTTAAACAGTTCGTGCAAAACATTTGCCACACAACATAGAAAAAAATGTGTTGCTAAAATATGGTGAAGAAAATGCATCTCTAACTTGTTTCCCTGTTTAGATAAATATACAACTCGACATAAATTTGTGTAGCCCTGGTTCTACTGCTGACCGATGTGCTACAAAACAGACATGAGTTTTTTGTTAAGGCTGTAAATATTTATTTTCCCAGTTGGTTAGCTAGAATGTGGCACCAACTGATGCAGCATCAAAATATACTTTCCCTACTTCCCTACAAGACCACCTATATAAATACATGACAAAAATATATAGTCATCTGCCCCTACTTATATCTTTCAAACCTAGACAATACTTTTGTAAGAAATATTTTTTGCATATTCCTGTACAAATTACTTATGCATAGATAGCTACCTGGCTGTCCTCATGTCATATAATCATTCTACTCGAAACACAACAAGCATGTGCACTGGTCCCTTTGAATTTGAAGAGTCACATGTTGGAAGTCTTAACTTGTAAGTGGGCATACATAATGTACTTTTCTGGCATGATACATGATTTTGACTATCACTACATACTGTATATTAGAGATTCTTAATTTCTTTCAAACATGTCTCTTCAAATGTGAAGATACCAGTGTTGCATTGTAGAAGCTTTACAAGCTACAAATGTACATACTAAAGTCTGGGATGTTCCATTGTATTTGTCAATGCACCCAGAGGTATACTTTGTAAAATAACTTTGTGTGGCCTGAGCAAAACTAGACAAACAAGTTAACTAGTGAACAGTATGGAGACCACATATCTTGTCCTTGCCTCCATCAACACTACTGTGGTTGTTACATGGAAAAATAGCTGGATCCTTTGTAAGTGGAATGATTTAGTGTTACACTGGAATGGCCAAATGGCTTTGATGCATGGTTTGCATATACATTCTTTAATTAGCACCATTTGCTTGGATATGGAAAAAATATCTCTACAAGGCTGTGGCTTCACATAATAGGCACTGTCTGGTTAGGATCACCTGAAGGCACGTTTAAACACCATGTCCTCTTGGACACTTCCATCTGCTGGACAAGTTGCAACAACATATTGAAAAAGGAAAGCAATCCGTGCAGAATCACGACAGCATACATCTATGAAAGTACATGTAGAAACCTATTTGCAAGTGTCCCAAATAAATATCCTCTACCTTATATCACAAGTATTGGTAGCATATACATAGTTAAACTTAAAGCTTTGTTCACTCTGGTATACAATGACAGCTATCTAACAATACACCACGCACCAGTAGTTACTGGCACAATTTGGATATAGTCCAGTATATGGACAAGGTTGGTTGTGCACAAATAAAGACGTCAAATGACATTGACAAACAATCTCCACAGCTCTGACAGCCCCTCATTTGGGGTATTTCTAATGGAACTCTCTGATTCCTCTCTTACAGGTGCTTTCTGTGTTGTGGAATGATGCTGTAGGTACCAGGGGAAGGTATGTAAATGTCTTAATGTTTCACCAAAACCCCAGTCTATAGTGTACATTATGCCAATGAACATGCAGAGCAGGCTCCAGTCTTGGTCTCTTCTGCGTCCGTCAGTGGGGAGACATCATCTGCCGCCAGGTCCATGTCCAGGTCATGGATACACTTGCCGTCCTTGACACAGCTGTGGTCAGATGGGGGGATGATGCCCTGCCTTCGGATAATGTTGTTGGTCAGGGCCAGGAAGGCCTAGAACAAGAACAATTTACACTGTACAACATGAACTTTAACTGAATCTCTGTGCTACAACTGTTGGTTATGGGCCTTTATCCTATAATGTAACAAATTGCTTGGTGCTTGGAAAATTCCTTACCTCCTTTATGTTGACATTTCTGTAAGCGCTGGTTTCAAAGAATGACATTCCATACAGGTCTGCAAGCTGCAGAGATGAGAACAAAATGTTTATGAGACCACATTACTAAGATTAATGTGTTGGATCATTTAATTTACATTTGTTGTATTTAATATAGATAAAGGTTTTTTTAAGTGGATATGTATAGAAAAAATTAATAAGCTTGCTGTAACTGTTTAGAGCACTGCACCCACCTTCTGTCCCTGTTGTTTAGAGATGACTCTCCAGTCCCGTTCATCACATTTGTTTGCTATCAACATTCTCTCTACATCCTCTGGTGCATACTGGGGAATGGTACAATAGGGGTTAGGTACAAAGTGTTGGTATGTATAAGTAAAGGCCTTGAAAATAGCAAAATTGTCTTCAACAGCAAGTGTTTAGAGAAACTTCAGCATGTTTTGATCCTGAGGTGTTTCTAATGTGTTTCTAATGGCAACATAGGTGGAGCTTAATATTCTCACCTCATCCACATCATTGGCCCACTTGGAGATGTTGGTGAAAGATTTTTCACTGGTCACATCATACACCAGTAAAACTCCCTGCAACACACAGGAAAGGAGTCTAAACTTTTCCTACTGTCATGTTATAAATATAATGTCAATAATGATACAAGAAATGTTTCTTTTTCCAATTTAATAGTAACGATTCTTGTAAATTACCTGTGCTCTCCTGTAATATTGCTTTGTGATAGTTTCATATCTTTCTTGCCCAGCAGTATCCCTGTATTGAGGAAAAGATAAATTAATCCATTCATTTTGTACAAATAGGCAATAAATAAAAAGTACAGTTAAAAATTAGTTAAAACCCACCAACAAAAAAGTTGATTAGTATATCATCAAATCAAACATGTTTATTACCTCAGACACAGTTTTCACTCTTTTCCCATTATTTCATACGTTCTGTCAGTTTGCAAGGGTAACCTAATACATGTAATATGCAAGGTTCAAACGTTGTTCAATGGAAAAGCATTTCTAAGCAGGGTGCCAACAGCCAAGTCTGATGCAACAATCTCCTTACCATATTTGTACTCTGATTCTCTTGCCATTTACTTCCACTGTCTTTAACTTGAAGTCAATCCCTGTGGAGAAAAGGATCATCCAATAGTTGCAGTTAGCAAATTACTACTGGAAAAACTAAAAGAACTTGTTGCACAATCTGTAATGCATGGTTAAAACAGAAACTCATTGAAACATATGTAAGAAATCTTAGTCATACCTATACCATTGTACTGTTCAGTTTTCTGCACAATATCTTTAGAATATTTGAAACATTACGACTTCATAAATGGGTTCAGGTTCAAGGGCAAAGTTCATGTTGTGTTTTGCATACCCAACCCATGTGTCATCCTTACACTCCTACATTCCTTAGCTGGCACATACCCAATCAAAGGGTTCCTCTTGGTGGACAAAAAAATAGTTCCAAGTAAAAACATGTATCTACCTGCTGACCTGTAGTGTGACTACAGTGACCATGTAGGTATCAGTTACAACATGCTAATTGGCTTCCTTACTGGACACATTGAACAAGCTGAAGTAAGTCTAAATGTGGGCAGTGTCCCACCCCCACAGGGTGTTTATCCTAGTCTTGCACAGTCGAGACATTTTGAAAGTGAAATCATTATGTAACTTGTCTAAGTGTATCATGTAAAAGAGAGGTGTGTGAGCCACAGATTTTTGGTGGGCTTTTTAGACTTTTCCCAATTGCCTAATCCTATATTGGTAAATATGATAACCAATGCAATATGAAATACTAGTATATTTTGCCCAAAAGGTAGGGAGCAGGTTAAAATGTCTTCTTAAGGAATGGTAATAATCACCTGTTCTAAAGGACATGTGGAGTTTTCTGTCTACTGATCAATGATTCAAATGAAGTGAAGGATGACAATTGTTGCCATCATCAATCACTCAATCTGGCGGAATAAACGTAATATTGACCTTGGGGTCATGTGACTCTTGTGAGGTGTGATTGGATTTTTGAACTGGGAAAATTAACTGCCAAAGCAACAGCATATAGTAAGGAATGGGAGCCTGTGTCTGGTCTACCATATGGAAACACCTGCTGACCTGAATATCACCCAGGTGTATCCACTGCACAGGTGTATCATTTACACTAATGGATACCTACAGTATTACTGGTCTTGCCAAACAAGCTTTCGATTTTCTGCATGTTTCTCTTAAACAAGCAGTTTTAATCATCCCTTTAAATATGAACATTTTTATAAATGTGTAAGGAATTTCAACACAGTACATCTATTACGATATTATCATTGGCAATAAAGATACATGTACATAATATGAAGGAAAGCATGGTCTTTTAATGAGTGCAACTTAACCTCTGATGTATCCACCAAATATTGGCTTTCAACTTGGAGCCCTGGAATAGTAGAAATAACTTTCCAAATCAAAAGCCATCCTAATCCTGTTAAAATGTTACAACTAACTTATTGTCTGACAATATATATATTATTTTATAAAATTATATAGACTTAAAATTGTTAAACAACAATGTTGATTGCGAAGTACTGCCCACAAGAAGAGTGGTCCGTACCTATAGTTGAGATGTGTGACATGGTGAAGTCGTCCTCCACGAAGCGGTAGAGGATACAAGTCTTCCCCACGCCGGAGTCTCCGATCAGCAGAACCCGGAGTAACATGTCGTACTGCTTCGCCTCGTGAGAGGACCTCCTCCGTCCGACAATCCTGTGGTTCGAATTCATGGCTGCCTAGCTCTCAATATAAATTGGTAGTGAGGAATTATTTCAGTCTGTACTTTTATGACAGAGAGGGATACACGGTAAAAATGTTCCCGTGGTTTAGAGTTCTGGTAGGCGAATTTGTTACAGATGGCCGTTGGTTTTCTTCACAAATGAATTACATGTAACACTGCTCTCAAAATTCAACAGGTATTTCACTCTAACTCAGGCACAGGGCAAGTTCGCCATTTTCACAGCCCAACTGACAGGCCGACTTGTAATGGTTCCAAGACGCTGTCACCGTGACCAGCACAAGTTCAAATCTTAGGGTGCACCTGTCTCGGAGTCAACCGATGTCTACAAACTTCCCAGGCTAGTTGAGGGAAGCCACGTTGCACCAGTTCGCCACTTGACCTTCGCAAAATGGCTCTGTTGCCTCGGGTCACATGTCCCAAACTTCTTAGAAGGAGGCGGAAGTCGTGACGTCCTTAATCCAGACAAGCAGCGACAGGGAGTTAGTGTTTTCCCTCCCGTAACCAGAGGTATGTATGACAGCAGCTTTCACAGACAACGTCCGTCCCGAAGTTTTCAAACAATGACGTAAGGCAGCATGGCATCCAAACAGACCAAAACATACAAAACTGCTTTCCTTTTAAACCTGTCATTTTTAATCAAAGTGTATATTATTTGTGATTTAAGGAGCATAATAAATGATATAAATAAGTTAATGATAGAAAAATCTATGAAGAGTGAAAGCATCAGTTGTAGGTAACGTTACATAAATACATTTTGCTGCTTTCAAGTAGAAACACCACCTAGGAAAAACCACTTCCGGTTCACAGGTCAGGCTTGAATGGGGAAGTTTCACTGCACTGCATAATACTGAGCACACAGTAATTATCTAATTACGAAGCCGGTTAAAAAGTTAATACACAACGTCTTCAGCATGTCTTCTACATTAGGGACGCTGCTTGAAATGGGATTTCCACAGAACAGAGCGTGAGTGATCATACTGCAGTCATTTTCCCTTAGCATACTCATGGTGTGGGAGGGGGGCAGCATGGAATACACTTGTGATAGTGCTGTGCTGGTTGTTACGTACAACGTAAGATACTTTGTAAAGTATAGTACTAAGTTTGATCAAATTACTGATGAAATGATTTTTTTTAAATTTCTGAAACGCAGATGGACATCAAGAATTTAGTAGAAGAAAGGTTATCACTGTCAGCATAATACTTTTTTATTAATTATTATTTGGCTCCTCAGATTTTGTAATTCATATGTATGTTGGGTTTGCACAGAACACTCAAGAGTAAGGAGGAGCAGCCTGACCACAGATAGAAAACATATTTTCCTCAAAGTGCCACATTCACATTTGCTGAGATTATGTGCAATACTTTGCCCATACGCTTAGGGATTGAGATAATGTTAATACATGATGGAGGTTTTGTATATAAACTTCATGAATACTCCATGATGCTTGTTCACACCACATGATGACCTGGTTTTTTACATAACATACACCTGAGGTAAGTAATACTTGGATAAAAATTGTTCTCTTCCATTGCAGAGAGAAGGCCATTGCTATAACGAATGACCAAGGTCCAGAGGTTGCTATGGAATGGTACGAGTTTTCTTTCTTTTCCTCTAGCAAAATAGGACAGCTTTGATACAGAACAACAGGGGGACGAAAATGGAGGGTTAAGCTGAGGGGATAGGGTTCATATGTACATGTACAATAAATGCACTGTGATATGGTCGTTATCCTGCATATCTGTGTGTATAATAATGTCCTCCTGAAGCATGTGATCAGAATGGAGACTTGCAGATTTGAAAAGAATACAATGAAACTTGTGTATAGCAATGGTGCCAACCACAGTTACCACTCAAGGGACATAGCAAAAGTAGTCGCTATAGATCAATGTCACTTATGACTCACTATGGGTGGTATGATGTATAGAGAGGAAATTGGGTCAATCTAAGAGCCTACCATAAAAGTGGTAACAAAGGCCAAGTGTTCCTAGTAACGTTACAGGTTTGACTGTTAATTGTTCACTGTCACTTCATTGACAGGGATATATGACAACTTTTTTTTTCAGGCTTCTTGCCCACATGGATGACCCTGACATTGATGAGCCATACCAGCCGCCTCAGGGACATGTGCTCGGGAAAAAAGAGGAGTCAGTAGCAGGTCTGGACTTGTCTTTGCTTGCTTGCTTTTAACTCAATTTTCATAGATCCTACTTAT